AACTCTTTACGGATCACATGGCCACAACCAAAAATCTCTTGCGGTGAATGATCACTATTTGGCCTCCAGTCTTTCGCCTTGATAACTCAAAATTATTATTGCCGACAATAACGGAGATAAAAAAGATAAATCCCATTTACATTCTATTTATTTACTTCCTGCATGACTCTCCCCAAACCCTTACGTGTTGCAGTATTTCTCCTTTGGAACTTCCCACAGCATAAATTCGAGTGACGTCCATCTGTAACTAAGGCGAGTGAATAACGTGCATTCCGAGAAACTGTTGGCTTTGGCAATTTCCCTTCGTTCTTATCTGCTACGCATCTAAGAGCATCTCGTTTTCTACGACTGCTGTTTAAGCGGAATTCTAAAATAAACAGAGTAATTGATTCTCATGAATAATACGGCAATTAACGTTTGGTCGTCAGACGTTTTAACTCTTTCCTTACATCCTTGTGAGTGTTTAACATTCGTTAATCTCTCTCTCGGCAGCAGTCGCCCTTCTCTCTCTTAAGCGCCGGCCTAACCCCCCTGAGGCCCAAAATCATGTTTTGCAGTTTTAGGACGGCAACTATAAGCAATGGTGACGAGCTTATCAGAGGCCCCGACACTTGGGTCTTGTTGCCACCACGTCACCGAGACGACAAATACGGACGACCGCGGCAATTTTAGTGGTTACGACGACGCCTTGCACGAGCAGAGGGACGGCTCTGAACAGTAGATCGACCGAGATGAAAACGACCAAGATCAGCTTTAACGTCTATGGCAAGAAGTTCGCCGATTGTTTTTGTCATCACGAAGTCATTAGGTACAGTTTAGTCCAGTACTCAGAATTATATCAAGGACAAACTATTTTCTTCCTCCTCCTCCTACTCTTCTCTCTCTCTCTCTCTCTCTCTCTCTCTCTCTCTCTCTCTCTCTCTCTCTCTCTCTCTCTCTCTCTCTCTCTCTCTCTCTCTCCTTTTTCTTATCGTTTCTATCTAGACATTGTTATTCGGTGCCAAACTCTTCCGTTTTATTTCTGCCTATTATATTATTTTATTTCACATCTTTCTCACATCCTACACGATAATGTCATCTATAACAAAATGTCTACCTTGCGTTCAGACCCTTTGTGCAAGAATATCTCTTGTCTCATGTTATCATGTGTTCCCATCGCCTCTGTCACTCCCCTTTCCCCTCCCGTGTTGTTGTTTGCTTGGCGTGTGTGCCGGCGGGATCTCGTAGCCTGGCGCGTCAAGACGTCCCCGTCGCCTCTTGCACGATTGGTTTTCCTCGTCGCCGTGTCGCGTCCGATCAGATGGCGACGTCGGGTTGGCTTTGCCGTTCTGGTCGAGCCGTTCCTCCGATGCTCCCCTTCGCGCCACACCCTTTGCTCAAACGCCCGCCCCTCAGGCATACGAGAGATATCTGGTGATGCCACGGCTTAATATATTTTCCGAAGCTGTTCATGCAATACACTTTGCGAGATGGCAGCGTTGGAATAAGGGAGTCTCATTACGACCCTCTCCTCTCCTCCTTCTGTCAGTCGTGAAGGCTTTATAATACGCTATTTTGGGTATGTGACAGATAACATATAAGTAACGTGGCTCGCAGCACAAAGTCCCTCCCGCTTTGTTTCTTTGCTGCTTCGCCACGATGCGTTTGGCGCCTTCATTCGATTCAACTACTGCTCGCAAGTGGCCATTTCGTTCTCGTCGTTACTTCTGTTATTGGCAGTCATAATATTATGCGCATGTGCATGCAAGCACGTATGTATATTGTTTTTATGTATGTTTATATATATATATATATATATATATATATATATATATATATACACAAATATATATACACACACATGTATGTGTGTGTGTGTGTGTGTGTGTGTGTGTGTGTGTGTGTGTGTGTGTGTGTGTGTGTATGTGTGTGTGTGTGTGTGTGTGCGCGTGTGTGTTTATATGCATGTATGTGTTTGTATGTGTATGTATGCATGTACACGTGTGTGCATATCGTATGTAAACAAGCCCCCCCCCCCCCCAGTGTCAAGGAACGCCCGCAAAAATAGCTCCGCAGAAAAGGACCGAGTCCTGGCAAAAGTAAGAATAGTGGCATCACTCCTCCATCTTGGTAGGCCGGAGCCTCTGCCGTCACCGCGCGGGAGGACAATAAATGAATGTCTTATGACTCACCATTCATGAGTAAGTGGAGGTCAACCATCCAAGTCCTTCTCTCTCATCTTCGTTTTCTTTATGTCTCTTTCTCCCGCCTTTTTTGTGTACCCTGGGGCGTTTTCTCTTTTTTTTTCTTTCTAGGAATTCATTTTCATCACGATTTCTTTCCTTTGAAAAAAATTATGCAGATTCTCCCGACTTATAATCAAGGATTTCCTCTCCCTTTCTTTCGCGTCTCTTCACTTCCCTCTCCTTCCTCAGCCTCCTTTCCCTCCTCCCTTCCTCCGCCTCTTCCACCTGCAGCCGGTTCTCCTCTCGCCTCTTCATCCACAGCTCATACTTCGTGTTTTTGTGTGGGTGACTAAGTGAACCAATTGAGGCAATCTGTCTGACTTGCATCGCCCCCGCTGCCACCACACCACCTCAGAGTCCACCTACATAATGATGGCGCGGCCGATCACACCAACCACCAACACCGCCGCCACTACACCCTCCTTGCCATTAACACCACTAACGCCATCTTTAGTCGAAGCTTATTACCGCGTACCACCATCACCGAAGGCATTAAGACGATTATACTAACGTCCGTGCGTACAGTGCCACCTACACCGCCGCCATCACTTCTTAACCACAACCGCCTAAGCCAAAGCCACTGCCACTACTTCAACAACTCAAACTACCATAACGTTTATCCTTACTACGGCCGCACTTGAGTGTATCCTTGCCGCAGATGACGGTACTGTCATCCCACACTGCATAAAATACTACATCAAAGATATTTATGTTGGCCATGATTCTGGGAGGCGACCGCGATGGACCGATAGCACTCAGACAAGGTAATATTAACAGTAATAAAAACAACGAAAATTAAGGAGGAATGTGTTTATTATACTCGAGAACCTTCAGAACCTTCACAGTGCATTAAGCAAAGACAATGGAAGCAGAAAATTCAAGGATTACGGAAACTGACTTAAGGACACCGCTATCGTGAAAATATTAATCAACGTATTTCTCTGTAAGAACTAGATCGAGTCGCTTTTAATGAGGAACTCCGACAGTACATTTACCCGTTTTCTTTGTTCTGAGAATAGAGTCTAAACATCTTATTTTGCTTCTAGAGCAAGGCTACTTAGAAATTAAGATACATAACCCAATATTTGTTTCATTATTTGTGAAGAGGTAATGTAAAATAAATATATAGTAAAGTATAAGAGTTCATTGTGAGCCCGTTTTCCCTCATCGTCTGGCCCTTCCCCCCTCCATTCCCCTCTGTTCCCTCGTCTTCCCACCCGCCACGCCTTACCCTCTCCCCCCACCCCCTGCCGCCCCTCCTCCCTTACCCCACCCCCGCCCCCTGTCCTCCCATCGGATGATATACGTTCTTCATAACTGTCTGGGAAATTTGAATATGCCACAGCTAAGGGAAGTCATACATAACATTCCCCAGTCACCATTCCTGGGGGGTAACTCTTTGACGTGAGAGGGGAGAGTAAGAGGGGAGACAAGGGGGGAAAAGGGTAAAATTAAGAGGAGGGGGGAAAGCCAAAGTTACAAGGGTTCCCACACTATTCAAGCCTCCTCATGGTCTTGGTGGCACTGATTGATATATTGGTTCGTTCCAGAAGACGCAGTTTGAGTTGCTGACAGAATAAAGGCTCAGGAGTTCGACTGTCACTGCTATCAAGATGTCAGCTGCAAGGAGGAGGGAAGGAGGGAGGTTCCTGTCACCTCTCGCCCATGCACGACTATTCTATCTTTATTGAAGAAAACGAAACACCTGTCGAGGACGGAATGTATAATTTATCATCGAGTCCGCTGAGGGCATAGTCTGTCGACCTATCCATCAGCTCTTCCCGTTAGGCCTAAGGATATGCTCGAGGCTCTCCGTCAGATTTAAAGGATTTCAAGCTCTAGCGTCACCTACTGTAAACCTCTCCTGTGATGGATTTCTCCCTCATCCGCCGCTGCACCGAGTCCTAACGGCCGCCCATGCCTCGTCAACCGCCCATGCCTCGTCAACCGCCCATGCCACCCAACACCGCCCACCTTCTGATCGTGGGAACAAGCCTCCCACACCAGTATGCTAATGAACTGTGGCCGCGGGCTTGAAAAAGAACAGTAGTGGGGAAGGGCTGAGGAAGCAGACAGTGTTTTATGGGGATGATCAGGAGACAGGATGAGCTGGGGCGAAAGGAGGGAGCCAGGGGAGGGCGGAGGAAAATGAGGAAGAGAGGAAGGAAGTTGGGGGAAAAAAGTAAGTCAGAAAAAAGTAAAGAGAGAGAGGAAGCGAGAGAGGAGGGAGAAGGTCGGGAAGGAACTCGGGGTAGGAGAGAGGAAAAGGGTGAAAGAGAAAGATATTGAAGAAAAGAAAGGAACCAGCAAAAGGAAGTGAAGAAATTATTGATAAAATAACGGGAGGCACTCAGGATTAATTGTAAATAATAAGTACACACAAAATACAATAAAACTTATAAATATACGTGAAAAAAAAGAAAAAGAAAAAAAAACAGCACGGTTCACTCCCGTTAGGGATATGTACACGCTGATGGTAGTAAACAAGAAGAACGCTTATGGTAGTAAACAAGAAGAACGCTTATGGTAGTAAACAAGAAGAACGCTTATGGTAGTAAACAAGAAGAACGCTTATGGTAGTAAACAAGAAGAACGCTTATGGTAGTAAACAAGAAGAACGCTTATGGTAGTAAACAAGAAGAACGCTTATGGTAGTAAACAAGAAGAACCCTTATGGTAGTAAACAAGAAGAAATCAGCATCCGTCAAGAACGAATGATAACATAGCTCCTAACACAAGCAACCTCAACCGAACGTAAAATGCATCTGAACCTACTTCCGCAGCTTCCATTAGCGATAGAGCCGACGCCGAACTTGAGGATGCGGCTCCTCGAACCTGGAACGAGTTAATGTTATAATATCACGTGACACAAGGCAGCACGCGGACCCGTACGGAACTTCAGTACGGTCATATAATAACATACAAAAAGAAGAAGGAAGAGAAGAAGAAGAAGAAGAAAAAAACAACAACAGTGATGGGAATAGTACTTATGAAGGCGAAACTCTTGTACTTATGCAAGATATTTCCCTAATGCACTGGGTAGATAAATATATAAGAAATTGGAAAGTGTAGTAAATTTATATTCATTATAAAGATGTTAGAAGATTTCACAATCATAATATAAATGGAACTTTGATAACCACTGAAGAAATAGAATTGGGAAAAAAACGTATAAAACTAAATATTCAATTTCAAATTACCGGAGTAACCGAATGCCACAATAAAGTTAAAACAAGAAAAAAGGTTTCTGAAAAATAAACAAATATGCATAAGTATCTGTAAAAATGTGTATATAAAGATCTAGGTATGTATATGGGGTTGGTAAACTTACATACACATATATTCTATATCTATGCATCTATATCTATCTATCTATCTATACCTACAACTATATCTATGTCTACATCCAATATCTATATCTATGTGTTTAATCATTTGTATGTGTGTGTGTGTGTGTGTGTGTGTGTGTGTGTGTGTGTGTGTGTGTGTGTGTGTGTGTGTGTGTGCGTGTGCGTGTGCGTGTGCGTGTGCGTGTGCGTGTGCGTGTGCGTGTGCGTGTGCGTGTGTGTGTGCGTGTGTGTGTTAATATGTCTTTATCTGCACCCTCGGAAGAAACTACAATTATACCAGCGATGTAGAGAGAGCAAGCACAGAGAACGAAGAAACATAGTGATAACACTAATGAATAAAGGCTGGGTAATAACCTCCTAATGTCCCATATTGGCTGTGTAGGAGGAAATGTAATAACACAGAAGGGGAAGATGACGCGTCGATATTGATCTGTAAATGTTGCCATAATTATACGTTCGTATGTTTATGTACATAAGAATGGGTCTGCGTTTGTTTGTGTGGGAAGGGTTGGGGTGTATAATATATATACATGTATAAGTATATGATATATATATATGCAAGCAAACACAAACACACACACACACACACATATATATATAAATGAAAAGAGAGAGAGTGAGAATATACATGCGTGTGGGTACACTGATTCTATACACACAGATACAAACTCACACTGTATTTATGTGCATGTATGAATAAACTAAATTTACATCTGGCAGTATTAGTGTATATTTATACATACATGATGTTCTACTATTTGGTAATATGGACCAGATTTTATATACAAATGTATGTGTGTGTGTATACATACACACACACACACACACATATATAATACATATGTGTGTGTGTGTGTGTGTGTGTGTGTGTATGCGTGTGTGTGTGTGTGTGTGTGTGTGTGTGTGTGTGTGTGTGTGTGTGTGTGTGTGTGTGTGTGTGTGTGTGTGTGTGCATGTATGTATGTATAACCTATACGTAAATTTATGGATAGAAAAGACAAGACTACTTTTGGGGAAAAAGTATGGTTTCAAGTAATTAGAAAATTATAAACAGAATTTCCACAATTCATGGCCATAAACTCGCCTGAAATTCAAAAGAACAGAACTTCCTAGTCATACGATGTCCGAGTATGCAAATGAGGAGACCGATTTTTTTTTCTCTTTGGCCCAGGCCGGATCAGGTGACACTAGGGTGCTGTCAAAATGTTATATAATGCCGGAGTGCCATATGCAAATTACTGCCGGGTGCCAGGTACCACCAGACACTGCACTTGACTGATGCTAGCAATTAATGTGTAAATTTTTGACTTGTGATCCTTTATTTGTATATTTCATATCAGTTCTAGCCTCCGTGCGTGCGTGCGCCTGTGGCGGAGGCGAGAGGACTTGGAAACTGTGGAATTATGAGGCGGTTTAATCTCCAAACTGTAATAATAAATGGGTAAGAGAGACGCGGTAACTAGAGAGCAAAAAGCAAGTGGTAATGACTGTCACATGTAGCCAACAAAAGCTTTCTTCAAATGAAGCTTTATCTACAAGGGTTTTTGTTCTCCCCCGGCCTTGTTTACTGGTGAATCTAACACCAAACAATAATTCGAAGCATATATATTTAATCATTGCGTGACGTATATTTTGAGTACTTTTTATACGGTTATTTAATGCTTTAAGTTGAAGAATATAACTTTTTTGTGCGTGTGCGAGCGAACTCAAGCACGTTTTGAAAAGTCAACGCCATCGATCCTTTTCTACTAATTGTCCTTCTTGGCTGGAAGGTTGGTGCCATGTGACACCCATCGCGCAGCGGCACACAAAAAGGAGGTGCCATCGCGGCTCTCTCTGCTTCGGGCCCTTTGTTTCTCTCCCCATCGGCTCTCGGACACTCCTCGCTGGCTGTGGCTCGCGCCCTCCTCTTTACTCCTACGTTTAAGGGAAGGCCGTGCCAACTGCTCCGATGCTTCCCGGATAAGAAATACGGCCGAGCGCGGTAATTGAAACGTAATAACCATGTTTACGACATGTAGGTAAGGGTGTGCCCGTGATTACCGCATAAAGCGTAATCATTGTGACTTTAGAGGTGATTATAACCCCATGAGTGCATTTCCATGAGGAAAGTTCAGTTACTTCAGCCAGCCCCCCTAGCCACATGATTTTACAAAGTTCTGTAAACCCCATGTACATACTCATGCTGGGAAACCATAAACATCTATAATCTGATAGTCACAACCTCATTCATACTGCATCTTGACCACAAACACACTTGCATCTTTTTCCTTTTTGCGTAAATTCTCGCGACTTCTTTCGCGCCTGTTAAGCTGACTTTGTTCGTCCCTCTTCCATTGAATACTTCAGCATAAGCTAGGTCTTCCCTATTTTCCCTTTTCTCTCACTCCCATTTTCACTTCTGTCTCTCTGTCTGTCTGACTCTCTCTCTCTCTCTCTCTCTCTCTCTCTCTCTCTCTCTCTCTCTCTCTCTCTCTCTCTCTCTCTCTCACCCTTTGTTTTTGGCAACAGATAAATATCAGGAAATATTAGATGCACCAGATCACCCCCTCTTCCTCCCTCACCCCTTCTTTCCCTCCGAACTCACCCCCCTTTCTCCCATGACCCCTTTCACCCCCCCCCCCCCCCGCACTCCCCGTCCCATCTCATTTTGTTCCCCCACTTGTTCCCATCCTGAACCAAAACAGCTGGAAGACAACATTTTTTTTTATGTGACTTCTCTCCCTCCCCCCCTTTTTTTCTCTTAATAGCACGAAAATTGTTGTGTCTTCTCGAAGCATAATTCCCAAAGTGTCACCGGCAAGATGTACGGGGTGACGTGATGCGCAGAGTTCGTAATAACGCTCTGGGGATTAAGTGTACAGCGGCTTTATGCATTCGATCCCTCAAACTGTCAACGTCTTGGCGAAGCCTCACTTGCTTTTTGGCGTTTCAATAATGTCTTGCCTCCGAGACGAATACACTGCATAACATTTCGGAGTCAGTAGGATGCAAATTTTAAAAAGCTTTCTTTGTAAAATACTTCAAGGGCTCAAAAAGGGAGAAAAGGGATAATATAGAAGAAAATGCGGAGGCAAAAAGTTCGAGATAATAATGCTTCACATCAATCGTTCATGAAATCCAGCTCCCTTAGTGAAAGGATCCATCCCGCCTCAACCCCATGTGTGGCGGATCGTATGGACGCGGCAAAAACATCATCTACGCATAAAATGAGGTAGTTGATACGCGCGTGGTGTTGCGCACCATATACGAGAAAGTTCTGTGTCTTTTTCCTAGCATTTGTACAACGGGAAAAGAAAGAAATTAATATGCTTAATGAAGCCTGTCTTCCATCTGGTTCTTTTAGTTCTTCTTTCCACCATACAGAAAAAAAGGAGACGGAGAAGAAAAAAAGAAATACCATAGACGTCAAAACCAAACACATTTATATCCCACGTCGCTCTGTTCAGATTAAGGCGTGGGATCCTTTTCAGTCCCATCTGAATACGATCTGAATCCATCCCTTTTGGTCCGGATCAAAAGTCACTTATAATGAATGATCTATGGAGGGAAAGGGTTGGAACATGCGTGGTCGACGGCAGCGTGGCGGCGGCAAAGAGGGGGAGGAGGAAGGAGGAATGGGGAAGGAGAGAGGGGGAGAAGAAGGATTGTGGGGGAAAGGGAGGAGAGAGGAGGAAAAAGGAGAGTGGGGGAGAAGGGGGCGGGCACGGTCGGCAAGGGACGGGGTTGAGGGGAAGCATGAGAGAAAAGATGGTTGGTTAGACACCGAAGCGAATGAAAGAAGTTAAAAAAAGCTAGGGGAGATGAGCGTAATAAGTAGATTAGTGATACACCATTTTAACTTTAAAAAATGTATATGAAAAAAAAACCACAACCAATGATTAAAAAATAACGTAGAAGGATCCTGTTTCTCCCCTCCTCTCCCTTATAACCTTCCTTTTTTTCTTCTTCTTCGCATATATCTTCAAAAGCGGCAAATTCACATCATTAGACTGTCATTTAGTCGCCGAAATAATCCACTATCTGCCGTTATGATCAGCATCTACGGGAATGCTCATCTTTCTGCTGGGAGGACCTGGCAGTTGTCACATGCCTCAGTGCCCGGACGCGGCGGGCGTGGGGGAGGAGAAGGGGGGAGGGAGGGGAGGGGCCAGCAGAAGAAGATAAAGAGTGCGAGGGAACAAGGAAGAAAGGGGTGAGAAAAAGTTCCTGGCAAACGAAAAAAAGGGCAAATGAAGAGAAATGAGAAAGTGAATGTTAAGAGGCTGGAGGAGCGACATGGAGGAATACGAAGATTTTTTCTCATTTCAAAACGAGGGAAATGGTATGAACTTCTGCGCCTCCTCTTCGTATTATCTCTCTTCTCTTCTCTTCTCTCTCTCTCTCTCTCTCTCTCTCTCTCTCTCTCTCTCTCTCAAATCACCTTTCATCAGCGAGCATAAAGATTAATTATGAGGTCCGCGGGGATGTGAAAGCATTGATGAG